ATGATATCTCATTCTTTCATACCGAAGTGGCTGATACTTGTTCTTAAAGCGTAACAAATTTGGTGTGTTCGTCTGAGGGAGAAATTTAAGAAACTCTTGAGAAATAATCCACCTCGCATGAATAAACAGTCGGAGATAATCAACCCCTTATTGCGAACAAATGAAAATACTCCCTTGAGCCATCTCAAAATGAACCCCACCAGTATATTGATAGTTCTGGGGACAACAGGAGTGATTGAGACAGAAGGTTAACAGCTACCAGCCCAGTTAGACTCCTGAGACGCAGAATGACCAATTACCATATTTAATAGGGTCTAATTAAATAGTCTCTCTCCAAAACATTGCCAGTAATGTTTTCAGTGTAATAAAACTGCAGGGAGATGTTGCTTGTTCTCACATTTTATTCCTCTCATGTTGTCTACATTTGTGAATCTCAGTGTTGTGGGTGGATTGCCTTCGCCTCTCCCACTGAAGCATATTATCATTACTTGCATATAGACTGATGGGAGCGTGTTTGTGTATTTTTCCGTGTGCATGGGGTTGTTTGTGGCATGTTCTCTCATCTATCAGTGGGCTACCCTTCTCCACTGACGACCACTGAAGCTCCATTAGTTCCCACAGTCCTGATTGATGTTGCACAGTATTGTGTTCGAAGGCAAAGAGGGCCGTTGTGAGCCAGCAACATGCTTATTACAACAGCAGTTCACTGCAGAAAAAGGGAAATTGCAATGCTGATGTCCCGAGGCTTAGATCTGAACCAGCGGTGAGCTCAGGAGATGTCAAAAACTTCAGCTTTTAAGCTTTACCAGAATTTGTGCGGAAATATGCCACGACTGAGAGAAAATGCTTTTTAATAACATGATGATGTGGTTTTCCTGAGTGCATGTAGAGAAGCAGAATTAATTATTTTAACAAAGGTAAGTGGTTATATTGGAAAAAACGTCAGCTCTTTACTTCCATGAAAAGCTGCTTTACTAGAATGATTTTACAACAGTTTGTTTGTGACGTGTGACGGGTAAAATCCAATCCTTTTGGGATTCAATTTATTATCCATTTAATATGTCATTAAAGTGAATAAAGTAATCTATTCCCAAATAAAATTAAAACCAATTACCTGAAAGCCACCAATCTAAAACAGTCCCACATGAAAAGATGGATCCTACTCAGCTGAAAATCTCTGTATGATTTCCCGGATCAAAACTTTTCCCTCTGATCTTTTTCCCAGCTTTCCACAATGTTTCCATCTCTTTCCTCTCGTCTCTGCTTTCAAAACTGCCTGTCTTGAGAATGAAAGCCTCAGCTGTGTTGTGACGTTTTAATGTGGCATTTGAATTCATTAGTAAGAAGCGATGGCACCACAAGCATCAGGGCCAGCTGCCAACACATCCATGCCTCAAGACAATAAGGGAGATCGCTGGCTCTGTAGCCTGTTGATGAGTACACGGTCTCTTTGATTTTGTATTTGAAACAGAGATGTAAAGCTTGTAGCCCACTGGCCTGTCACATGGAAGCCGAGCAGACTCACTCAAGTTGGATTTGTTTGTGCCAGTTTTGCTTTTATTCCTTCTTCTTGTCATCATCAAGGTCATAGGAAAACAATTATCTTTCTCCCTGTGCCTAAAGAGGTTTTGTTTAGGATTATGTGCCTAAAGTGGGGGTTGTTAATGCTGATTAAGATAATGTTTGAGATTATCTATGTGTACAGAGATGCAGGCATTATGAGAGAAAGGGGATGACTCGCAGCAAAGGCTGAGTCAGATTCAAACTGACATCCTTAACTAGCCCTGCTTTCCACCCACAAACTGTTCTGTTTTATTGTTAAACTCAAACTGTTCGGCACTTGATATGCTTTTTTTAATCATTTATTTTTTGTCACTGGCTTTTCTGACATGTGACAAAGTGTATTATTGCTTTACAGCATGCTAAAAGCACCATTTTAGTATTCCAACGCTACAAATTATCGCACCCATTTCCACACATTAACCTTTCTCTCTGGATCTTTTCTTACTGTTGTGCTCGCGTGTGCCCAGACTGTGATTAATATGCCTTTGGTCTCATGTGATAAAATCTTGCCAATCTCTCTCTCTGCCTACAGCTCGAGCCACCTTATTATTTCGGAAAGGTTGTATGGTCACTGAGCTTAGATTATTCCATTCCCTGCTCTACATCTTATGCTCCATGTGTTCCTTCCTCATTCGAATGTGTTTTGTCTCTTTGTCTCCAGGAATGGAATATGGAAATGTATTTTAGCCTATGCGTGGAGGATGTTTCAGTAT